TGCAGATTGGCAATACGCATTCTTTGTTTTTATTCACAAATGACACAATCATCTACATAGAAAATCCCAATGAATTTACAAAAAGCATAGTAATGCCAATAAGTGAATTTAGCAAAATTTCAGGATATAAGATCAATATATAAAAATGAAATATATTTCTATATGTACTAAAAACAAGTGATTGGAAAAATGAAATAAATGACATGCTATTTACCAAAGCAACAAAGCCATGAACTACTTAGGAATAAATTTAAATATACTTAATTTTTTTCCTTTCCTTTTCTTTTTTTTTCCTAAAGATTTTATTTATTTGAGGGAGAGAGAGAGAGAGACAGCATGAGTTGTGGGGGGAGGGGCAGAAGGAGAGGGAGAAGCAGACTCCACGCTGAGCAGGGAACCCAACAAAGGGCTTGATCCCAGGACCCTGAGATCATGATCTGAGCAGAAGGCAGATGCTTAACCAACTGAGCCACCCATGAGCTCCTTTTCCCTTTCATTTTCTGTCCCCAACCCCCTTTCCTCCCTAGACACTAGAATTAGTGCATGCAATATATGCTCTTCCAATACACTCTCCTGATACTTATTTAGAAATATATGTACCCTTGAAAAAAATAAACAGTGGTCTTTGTGTATATTTATCATTTTTTAATGTAATGAATATAGTGAGTATAATGTATAGTGCTTGTCCCATCCACCCAATCCTGGCATTTCATGATCTGAGCTAGAGTACACCAATAAGTTCTAACAATTCAAAATTTACAAAAACAACAAAACAAGACACAATCCCAAAGGCTTAAGAAATAACTGAGAATTGCTACATTGGAAGAAATGTACATATATTTGTTATTTTGTTTCTAATATACCCCAGGAAGGTATTTGTTTTATATTTTTTGAGAATTAAAGCTATTTTGAAAAACTGCTACTTTGGTTTTATATGAGACTAACTGAAATTACAATTTTGGCTCCCTCCCCCCGCCCCCACCCCTTTTTAAAGTGAGAGCCTGACTTGATGATAGTGTAGAAACTATTCAGAAACATTCCTATTATATATTTAGCAGGAGCTGCCACCTGCAGGCAAAAAATAAAATAACAAATCACTAGTCCTTTTTTCTTTTTAAATGAAATTGAATTCATTATCAGTACCTGTTTTTCTTAATTTAAAATAATCTGGCTCTCTCTTTCTTCCACTGATTTACTGGTCTTTCCTGCTTTTCCTTTGTTGCTAGTTTTCTTAATTCCCAATTCTCACTTGTTCTTTTGAACAACATCATCCTCTTTACCTCCCTTAATCTATTTTCTGGTACACCAAAAGACACCTATGACAAGATTTCTAAACAATAGTGATTGGATTTAAGAATTTAATTTTAGATTATTTAGCTATGAAAATAGCCCTAGGTTTTGTGACGTGTAAAACAATAACTTATCTTAGATATTAGTCTCCAAAGATTAAGAATATGCTTATTTAACTTTTTTTCCCCTCCGTTTGTCCATGAATTATTTTTTAAGTCTTAGATTCAGCTTTAAGAAGGATTGGAGTGAATTCAACATAAAAGCATGAACTTTCATCGTTTCTCTTAATCTCTGTTTTGCTGAGATTGAATTGCCATTCTTAATTCTTCCTCAAGGTTTCTTTGTTCTTGAGGCTATTTTTCTTTATGTCTACAATTAGATCATAGTTAACTGGGATTCAGGATGAAGCTCCATTGACTGGATTTAAATATTCTGGTATCAGTTGCTTTTATTTATTTTTGAAAGGGAACATCTTAATTTTCAGTAAGGATAAGAACATTTGTTTAGGACATATGAGAATTGTACTTTTAAATATTTAACTGAAGTGTTAGCAGTATGAATTAGTCAGTCACTATGCTCTGCTATGCTGGATAAAAAATTAATCCCCACATTTTAGTGGCTTAACATAATAAATGATTACTTTTCACTTACAACACAGTCCAATAGCAATTGGGACATCTTCCTTCTTGTAGATCCACCAACTGGAACATGTGTTCTTCATGGTTGCCAACGGAGGGAAAAAGAGGGCTTATAAAAAGGCAACTCAGCCTTATCTGTCTCAGCATGAATGTGACATTCATCACTTCTACTTACACTTTATTGTTCAGAATCCGTTACATGATCCCAACCAAACTGTAAGGAAGGCTATGAAATTTACAGAAGCACAGGCATGTTTGATGAGAATTAATAATCTCTGTCACATTGTTTTTATTGTTATTCCTTGACTTTTTGTTTCAGAGAATAGTGATATATGAAATAGAGGAAAATTTTTCCAAACAAAAGAATTAGAGTCCTATTGTAGAATTTCTAAAATTAGTCAACTGAAATTTGGAGCCAAATTAATACATATATGAGGTTTATTTTCAATGTATTAATTATACTCATGCTAATCAATTTATTTTAAAGGGCTTGTGGAGATTTAAAATTATGTCCATAAATTCTTTGCCATTCCTCTCTTCTAAAGGTGCAGCCTAATTCATCTCTCCAAGTGTGGGCTGGACTCGCTTTATTTATTAATAGAATATGGTGGAAATGATGATATGTAATTTTCAAGACTAGATCATAAAAAGCATCATGACTTCTTCCTTGCTCTCTCTTTTGGGTCACTGACTGTGGGGGAAGCCAGTTGACAGGCTTTGAAGATACATTAAATAGCTCTATGTACATGCAGTGAGGAATTGAGGTCCTTGCCAACAGCCACGTAGGTGAGCTATTGTAGAAGTGGATCTTCTAGTCTCAGTTATGCCTTGGGATGAATGTAGCTCCAACAATTTTATGGGAACTTCTGAACCTAAGGCACCCAACTAAGATGCTATGAAATTCCAAACCAACAAAAATTGTGAGGTAATAAATGCTTTTGTTTTAAGTCGCTATGATTTGGGGTAATCCGTTATGCAGCAGTAAATAGCTAATTCAGCATCATAAAATAAAGTCCTACTTTATTGGTTTATAAAAAATTTTCTAATGAAATGCTAAATAAAAATGTTTTAAGTAGCACTTTTAAGTAAAACTTGAGTACTCCATGTGTATAGGGGAGGAAGAGGGAAATGAGGGGTTGATAACAGTCATTCAGCTATTTTTTTTTTTTTTTTGTCCTCTTACAATGTTAGATTAACAAATTACCAAGGGGCGCCTGGGTGGCTCAGTCGTTAGGCGTCTGCCTTCGGCTCAGGTCATGGTCCCAGGGTCCTGGGATCGAGCCCTACATCTGGCTCCCTGCTCCGTGGGAAGCCTGCTTCTTCCTCTCCCACTTCCCCCTGCTTGTGTTCCTGCTTTCTCTGTCTCTCTCTCTGTCAAATAAATAAATCTTTAAAAAAAAAAAAAGAAGAAAAAACAAATTACCAAATAACTCAGGAGACAAACCAAGAGAATTTAGATGTTTTCATTGAAATAGTCAAAATACATATAAGTTGAATAACTATAATATACTCTCAATATTAGAAAATGATTCTAATTTTAAAATCAGTCATAATAATGTTTAGTTTATGTTAATGAAAACACAGATTGCATAATCTTTGTGTATAATATAGAAGGAAATATATTGATGAATATTAGAAGTCAGACTTTGGTCATATTCATATATGCTGTCAAACACTTGCTGTAATAAGTCCAATTCGATATTTGAGGCCCTACTGTTGTCAATTTTCTCTGTGTGGTAGTTCAACCTTGGTGATAAGAACTCTAAAAGCAAGCGGAACCACTATGTTATTAAAGTAAAAGTTTGTGGGAAAAAAAGCAAATTTGCTTTTTATTTGTGTGTCGTATTACTTTTCTTTTAGCAATCAGTTCCAAGGTAAACTTTAAGACTTAGTTTATCCCTGAAGAGATTTTAAATATGGTCTGTATTGCATTAGTTTAAATATGCTGGTTAATAAGTAATAATATCATTATGGTCTCCCAAAGAATCTGCCTTTATGATGCTTATGCCATTGGGTCAGTAAACTTAGGTTGATACTCAGGTTGATACCCTGATTTTGGGCATTGAGCTCATAATGAAATTTTAAAAAATCAGTGAGATATAATTCACGTATCATAAAACTCACTCCATGAAAATGTACAATACAATAGTTTTTAGCACCATCACCACTAGATTGTTCTAATTCCAGAACATCCTCATCACCTCTAAAAGAAACTCTGTATCCATCAGTGGTCACTCCCAGTTCTCTCCTCCCCTCTGCTCCTGGCAAATGCTAATCCACTTTCTGTCTCTGGACATTTCATATAAATGTTATCATGCAATAACATGTGGTCTTCTGTGTTTGGCTTCTTTCACTTAAGCATAATATTTTTGAGGTTCATTCATGTTGTAGCATTTATTAGTACTTCATTCCTTTTTGTGGTAAATAATATTCTATTGTATGGAAATACATTTTGTTTAGCCATTCATCAGCTGATGGACATTTGGGTTGTTTCCACTTTTTGTTTATAGTAATACTGCTGTGAATATGTACAATTTTTTTGTGGTTATGTGTTTTCATTTCTCTTGCGTTTATATGTAGAAGGGGAACTAGTGGGTCATATGGAAATTCTAAGTTTAACTTTTTGAGGAACTACTAAACTGTTTTCCAAAGCAGCTGCATGATTTTACATTCCCATCAACAATGTATGAGGTTTCCAATTTCTCTGCATCCTTGCCAACATGTGTTACCGTCATCCTTGTGGATGAACTAGGATCTTGTGGTTTTCATTTTTATTTCCTAATGACTAATGACGTTGAGTATCATGTCAGAACTTATTGTTTGTCCATTTGTATATTTTCTTTGGAGAAATGTCATAATGAAAACTTTCTCATGTCACCCATTAATCCAAGACATTAATAGGTCTGGGTATAAAAGTTTTAAAGACATTTTATATATGAACACTTAATTTATAAATTACTCTTTGTTAGCTGCATCTGCTTCTCTAGGACAGGTCTTGAGTAGGTAATATATAGGAATTAGCCATGTTAAAGCATGTTTGGAGTGCTGCTTATCCGATTTTGTACTTCCCAGGCACCTAAATATCCAGGGGCAGGGACCACTTAATTCAAGAATCTGTAACAATACCTGATAGGGTCCTTAAGATGTGGAATTAATGAAGAAAACAAAAGAGGTTAGTTGAAAATGAATATTGTTTAATGGGAACTATGTTTAGTTTTCTATATTGTTAAGTGAAATTATATGCAACAACTAGTAATACTATACAGTTGGAATATTGATATTACTAATTTTATTTATTTTGATTCGTTTGTTATTCACTATTTTTCCATGTTTTTAAAAATGTATATTTTTGTGATTGTAAATTAAATACACATTTATTGTAGAAACTTTGAAAACTACAAAATACAAAAGAGAAAAGAAAAACAACCAGTATTAACATGTTGGTATGAATCCTTTTAGAGGTTATATGCATGCATTTAAAAATTGTTTGCTTGTTTTTTTAAACTGGTTAATGCATACGCATAGAACAAAATAAAAAGGTTCAATAGGGTGCACAGTGAAATGTTAAGTCTCTCCTTCTACCCTGTGTTCCAGTTTTTCTACACAGAAGCAACCTCTATTATCAGTATCTGGTATAATCTTCCAGAGATATTACACACATATACATAATACATACACACATAAGTGTTCTAAATTCCCCCTCTCTAAGGTATTGGGGAAAGTTCTAAATCATGGATAGTTTAAGACAATGGTTTCTTTTCTGGTCCAATATAGTTTCTTTTACTTTTTGCTTGTTCCATTTCTATTGATCTTATTCTTTGCCTATTATTTTGCAGGATTATCACTTTGTGTATGTTCCAAATTCACTATAAGTATTGAATTTTTATAAATGGTATTCCTAAGAAAGTTTACTCCTACAGTATGCTCTGTAAAAGCACCAGAAATTCCTCTGCCACCATTTTGCTGATGTCACTCTCCCACCTAATAGTATTCTAACTTTATCATATTCAACCAGAGAATTGGATTTATAATCTATTTCTGTCTCTTGCTGTTGCTATTAAAACTTTCACATTTATTTCTGATTTCTTCAGCTAGATTATAAACTCTGTCATAGTAAGTAGTAGGCCTTATAATTTGTATTTCTTATAGCATGCAATGTCTGTTTTGCTTTGCAGATTGTAGGTGTTTAGTAAGTGTTTGTGGATTGAATGAATCAAAAGAAAAAGCACACCTCCAAAACCTTGGCAAAAAAACAAAACAAAACAAAACAAAACAGAACAAAAATCTCAGTACAGAAGCAAATGCCAACTAGAGTTACAAACTGATTCCAAAGAGTTCTCTTCTCTATGCAAATGTCTGGATAACATACAGGTAGGAAATTTTCACTTTGACCATTGTTTTGAGAAAATGTTGAAAGAAGTAATAAAACCTTTTAAAAATCTCTATTTAGATTTGATTTTTACCTTTGCAGTGTTTAAGTTCTATATAATTTTACATGAAAGGAAATGAGGAAAGCAGTGGTAGGGCTTGGTGGATAGACAATGAAGTGTCCATAGATAAGCAAATCACTTGTGAGCTGGACGAAATTATTTGGTTCCAGCTGCTATGCCTAACTCCCAGGCAATTCAGAGTATGGGAAAGCCAGGTTGAGCAGGTCTGCAAGGCACTTTGAGTATCACAGAGGAAATAATTAAGATGAAAGAAATAAGAGTTTCGCCTGCTATTTATTTGATCAGTTAGATTAAAATAGGCATTATTGCTGACTTGAGGGTAAAAACAGACTGCTCCAGCAGATGACCCAAGAGGGCTTCAAAAGGAACTTCTCTTGGCCTTGGTTTGGAATTATTCCTTTCCTTCCTGGTATTCTGTTACGGTAGGAGTGAATAAGCAGCAGAAGTAGGGAAGTTTATGAAACATGTTTTCAGGGGTTCCAGAATTTAAACTGATCCCGGGCATGCCAACAGTTGGAGAAATAACTATAAAAATTAGGTTCAAAGTGATTGTCAGTAATCGGTTCTCAGTTCAAATAGTTTTCAGGGTTACGACTGACCTTTCCATGACATTAAGTTCATCTTCTCAACAACCAATTATGCCATCACCTTTGGGGCACTTTGGGCCCCCATAGACCGGGTGCCGTGTAAAGAAAACAGCTCAGCATCTGGCCCTTATTATCCTTTTTGTCATCCAGGCATCACCAAGTGTTCCCATCTGTGTTTAAGCCTGACCACTCATGCAATTTTTATAGTAGCAAGTGAAAATGGTTTGGAAATTTCCATCTTGAAGGCCAACACCTCATGGAAAACTTTGAGAAGCATTTTATTTATTAATAGAAACTCAGTGTATTAACATTCTTAGTATGTATTTTTGTAGCTTTTCTATTTCATTAGATAATCCTTGTAAAAACCACTTTTCTGCCAGGCAGGGAACAGGTAGAAAATAGAGAAATTTAATGCACTGAACGCATAAATTAGCATATATTAAAAACAATAACTTTTTATTATTAGTGTACATGTACTGCATTAGTGTCTTACTAGCGTACATGTAGTGTAGAAGATAAATTAAACAAAAAATATTAAATAAAAACATGCCTACCACTCGGAGATCACCCATTAGCACCTAACTATATTTCTAGAAGATGTTTTTAAAAAATAAAATAAATATAATAAACATTCATAATAAATATATATAAATTTGATATATAACTATAACCAAATTAATTTAAATTTAATATTTAACCCAACTCAAGACGGTTTTTAAACCTAATCTGATAATGTTTTGCCTCTTTGAGAGTTAGATCAAACTGGCATTTACAAATAGAAAAGACAAGACACAGTCTGATTCCTAGAGGGCAGGAGTTAAGAACACATAGTAAGGGCAGTTCTTTTTCTCCGTCATGTAACCTGTTCAGTGTACATATAGTCTTCGTAATCACCATTGGATAATTAGAGTAGCTGACCTTCAAAATACGATAGAGGATACTGGAGATATTTAGGCAGAAATGTTTTCAAATTCTCATAAGCCAGAAGTCTCTTAATAAGAAGAAAACAGGTGTTACTGTCAGCAGCAGTTATCAAATCTTGTAAGACTTACACTCCAGAGAGTACCCAGTACTGGTTATTTCCTCCTGAGAGTGCCTCTCAGTGAGATGCAGTGCCTCTCAATGAGGATGCCCCATGGCTAGGCAGCAGTGCACATGGGATTGCCAGGCTCACAGGACCTCTCCCTACATGCTTCCTCTCCGGGGTCCTGTAAGGCCACAGAGCTACATTGATATCAACCCTGGGAAGCTGACCTAAAAGGCTTTTTAAAATATTTTGGGGCCTCTGAACTCTCTTATGGGTAGACTGTCTCTGAGACTAAGGCTGTTCTTGGAGCATTGCGGGGGGAAGGAGTTGGTGTTCCCGTACAGTGTTGTCCTGAGCAGAGAATACTCAACAATGGTGAGGCTCTTCAGGCCCTCTAAGCCAATAGACTCTGTCACTCTTCTGGCCCGCCCACATCCAGGGTGTTCTGGAGGCGCACCCCATACCTAGTAGGAAACTCTAGAAGTATGGGAGTATATATCCTACCCAAAGACTCTCTCAGGTGTGAGCTAATTGCTTTTGTATCACAACAAGTAGATTCCTATTATTTCTCACCCCACTCCCCGGGGGAAAATTATTAAACATTGATCAGATGCCACATGGAAAATTACAGATCAATGATTTTACAAAGGAGAGTAAGTTAAAGTGAATTTTATATTGCTGCTATAAAATAATCTATAAAAAGGAAAGTAAAAAAAGCAGAAGTCATTAGAAACTCATGTTGTCTGATAACACAAATTATATTTATTGTAAAGGGGATAATATGTAGTTACTGACATGACTAAGAGTTCAGTTGGAATTTGTTAAATTACTTTAAAAAAAAAACTTTTATTATTATTATTTTGTTGTTGTTAAAGACTTTATTTATTTGACTGAGAGAGAGAAAGCACAGAGGGAGAGGGAGAGGGAGGAGCAGACTCCCTGCTGAGCAGGGAGCCCGATGCAGGGCCAGGACCCTGCGATTATGACCTGAGCCGAAGGCAGACACTTAACTGACTGAGCCACCCAGGTGCCCCTAAACTTTTAATTTTAGAAGTTTTAGATTTATGGAAAAGTTGCAAAAATTATACGTAGGGATCTTCTATATCCAGCATGTTTCTCCTATTGTTAACATCTTACATTAATATTTATACTTACAGTATATTACATTTGGCACAACTATTGAGCCAGTATTGATACACTATTATTAATTAAGCCCCATATTTTATTCAAAATTCCTTAGTTTTCCCTAATGTCTTTTTTCTGTTCCAGAATCCTTTCCAAGATACCACATTACATTTAATCATCATGTGTCCTTAGTCTCCACTTGTCTGGGACAGTGTTTCAGACTTTCTTTGTTTTTGATGACCTTGACAGTTTTGAGGAGTACTAGTCAGATATTTTGTAGGATGATCCTCAGTTTGGGTTTGTCAGATATTATTCTCACAGGCAGCCCAGAGTTATAGTTTCTTGAGAGGAAGACCACAAATGTAAAGTGACATTCTCATCATATCCTATCAAGGGCATATGCTGTCAACATGACTTATCACTGATGGCATTAAGCTTGGTGACCTGGTTGAGGTAGTGTTTGTCAGGCTTCTTCAATATAAAGTTACTCCCCCTACCCTGTTCCATACTGTACTCTTTAGAAAATAAAAACTCATATTTAAGGTGTGGGGAGTCATGCTCCACTTTCTTGAAGGGGCATTATCCTCATAAATTATTTGGAATTTTTCCTCTACAGGAGATTTGTCTATTCTTTCCCATTAATTTATTGATGTAATCATTTGTTTATATCAGGATGAACTCATGGATATGTATTTTATACTTTGGGTTATAATCCAATACTACTTTATGTATTTTCTTGCTCAAATTGTTCCAGCTTTGGTTATTGGGAACCCTTTCAATTGGCTCTTATATCGTGTGTGTGTATGAGTATGTGTGTATGTGTGTGTGATTTTAGGCCTTCCTTTTTTTCTGGCTCTACAAGATATCCTAAGCTCATCTTATATATTCCCTGCCCAGCTTTAGAATTGGCCATTTTTCCAGGGACCTTGGGTTCCTTTTATTGGATAATGGTATTAGACAGAAAGGTCTGGTGCTGGTGTGCTGGGTGCTGGTGTGCTGGTTACTAATGGGGTGTGTTATTTGTAAGGGATCTCCACTTGAAAATACATGATTGTGTATTGTAGGGAGAAAGACTATCTACCCTCCTAGGTTTGATTAGCTGGGTCTGTGAAATAAACTGACAGTAGGCAGATCAACAGGAGAAAAGGTACACAAATTTATTGTTATTATATGCACAGCAGTATCACAGGAAAAAAAAAGTGAATACTTCCCCAGATCAGTGAGATTTGAGAACTTATATACTATCTGATAGGGGAAGGGGAGTGGGATGTAGGGATTTAGGAGGCAGTACATGATCTTGACATGGACTCTTTGAAGAATAGATAGGAGGGAGGTATGATGATTTACGACAAAGTTTGTTTGGGTGTGATGTCAACTTCTAGTCTCCTCTCTTGTGATAAGAATTAATGTTCCCTGGTTGATGAGACTCCCAAGCAGGTTATGACAATCGAGTTCCTTTTGGAGGATCTGTCTTTAGGCGGGTAAGGGGAGTTCAGAAAAAGCCTTTCCCTGCATTTGTTATTTTTCAAGTGTCTTCAGTTCAAAATAATCAATGTACCAAAGTGGCATATTTTGGGGTGGCATGTCATGAACTCCTTCAATACAAGTGCCTTATATACATATACACATATCTATACTTATTTCCATACTTTTTAAAATCTGTATCTATATTAAACTGAACATGAGTTCATACTGATGTCCCTTGTTCTGTATTTAAAGGAAAAAGTTGGCAACAGATGGTGTCTCACAGCAAGTTTTATTTCAGTCTTGCTCTGATTGTATGTGCCAAATCTACTCAAAAAATCATTGTCCATTCTCTGGGCCCCGTCTGAAGATCAGATGGCATTGAAAAGCATGCGCTGCTAGGAAGAAAGAGCTTCATCGGACTGGAAGTGCAGTAGACGTTAGGGGAAATAGAAGAGGCAGGCAGGTGGTGCAACAGTCTTGTTCTTTGACTAGATGCCAACGGAGATATGAAATATCAAATATGGATGTACTTTGAGGCATCAGCATTGTTATTTCTCCTGGTATGAACATTTCTGACAGTCACTGATGAAGAGAAGTGACTCACCTGGTCGAGGTAGTTTTAGTAGCAGTTTGTCTTACTTGACTTGGCAGGGATGAAGCAGGAGCACCTAGCACTAGTAAATGATATCAGTAAGGTGCCTGTAATTTAAAACAAGTAGGAAAGCTCAGGCCTTTTTACTTTCTGCATTGCAAAAATAATGTCTTCTTTGTTAGCCTAGGGCCTTTGCAAGCCAAGTTAGTGGGAAAAAAAACCCCATGCCATCAAACTTGGGTGTCAGTGATATGGGGAGGGAAGAAAAAGCACAGTATATTTCCATTACAGCAGGAGGCGATTGTGATGATCAGGTAGCCAGGCGTGGAGCTCTCAAGAAATGTTTCTTACAACTCGAAAAAGGGAGAAACGCCTGAGGACAACTGTATTTGGCCAACATCAGCTCTATCTGAGCATCTTATAAAAATATCTGAAAGCATAAATTGACAGTTAAGGAAAATGTGGGAGAACCAGTTTTGAAATGCATTAGGAGATGGCACTAAAGATATGCCATAGCTTATTATAAAACATTCATGTCTGTAAACATCTGATTTGAGAAACTTCCACTTTTCAGGTAGAGAGGATTGTTTGAAAGGGAAGGAAATAAGAAAGAGGAACCCACGATGGAACGATGTAATTGAAGACTTGCTAAAACAAAGATTAGTTAAGATCATACTATGCTTTTAGCATGTTTTCACAGACTAAAAAGACAAGACTTTATGAACATATTAATATTCTTGTAAGCACTACAAATTAATAATGTTTACTAGCTTATACTATCTAGCTGTACACAGAATGTATCCATGTGTATTTGTAGGGACAGGATTTTTTATGTGAGAGTACTAATATACAATTACATTTATCGTGGTGAAACATTTTTAGTGCGTATTGAAAAATGACATAACAGACCAACAGATTAGTCTGAAATTTCACCTCGAAATCAAAGCAAGATAATGTTTGTGATTCTATAAACATAGCTTAATACGCTTGGCCTAATGCAATTAGAATAGAACAGCAAGTATTTTTGGAATTGATTTCGTTTTGTGAATTGTTCAAATCCACAGCAGAATTGTTCATGCATTGGTGAATGTAATTGTGCACCTGTTTACTAAGGCAAAGGAGCAATAGAAAATGCAGGGTATTGTAGTAAGTAGATGTTTAAAGAAAACATAGTATCTCATTAAAGAAGGTGTGGTTGCACAGAGCACGTTTCATTTCTATTCACCTCAACTCTTTAGGGTCTTCCTTCTTTTTATGATCATTTTGATTCATGAAGCACTAATAGTTGACACTAATAAGAGAACTCAAAAAGATTTCAATCATGAGGAATTGGGATCACAGCATAGAATTTCCTTGTATTTATCAGTCTTTTGCCAACAATAAAATAGATCAGGCCTTTTATGGCTTTCAATGTATGAGCTTTCCACGGATAGTGAAGAATGTCCTCGCTTACATGTGACTGTTTATATTTAATAATAATGACCAGTATTTATTGAAAGCTTGCTATGTGTAAGGCACAACAAAAAGATATGCAATAATTTATTTAATCATAACAGTTCCCCCATTTTACAGATGAGGATCTTGGAGTTTAAAGAGATGTGGGTATGACTTATACAAACTGTACAGTCCGTCAATAGCAGAACCAAGTCTTGAATTCAGGTCTGACATAAAGAGATCTTTTTATCTGAAAGTTGGTTTGCATGTTGTTCTAATATTTTCATACAACCAAAGGGGGAAATCATGCCTAAACACTGCTATAGTTTTAATATGTAACTGACTTACGGCCACTGTCTTGCTTGATCTTGCCACCTCCTAAGATTCCAGGGATAAAAATAGCAGCTAAAATTATACTTAGGGGCCCCCAAAATATTCTGGGCCAAGACTGGAGAAAGCTCTTTTCAAGTGCCTACTCAATTACCAATTCCAGTTGCTGAGAACTTCTGTGCTAAACTTAAATAGGAAAGTCATGATTAGGGCCAAAATCCAAGTCATAATAAATCAGTCACAATAGTGTGTTGGGGTTGGGGAAGATACGGGGTTTCTTTACAAATGAGTTCTGCTTTGCCGTTGAAAATTTTATTTTAAATATGCTCCAAAAATTTGAGAATTAAAACTGCTTTGGAACTTAGGAAAGAGGCCAGAAAGCACAAAGCAGACTTACCAATGTCTAGGCTTGAACATACCCAGCCTCCAAGACACACCCAAAGATGGTTTGTCCTGATGTCTTGTGAGGCCCTATCTGAGCTTATAGTTGATCTAAGCAGTTTACATATACAAAATCTCATGTATTTCCTACTCTTAGTTTTAAGTAATGGGCTTTTCTGTCAATCATTTTTTCACCTGTTCCTAGTAGCTTCAAGCCTTTGCTGACTCCTGGGCATAATGTTTAGTCAACTAAAACTTTGTCATAATTGAAGAACTGAATCTCACAGTAGAAGCAGGCAACACAAAGACTAAAGGCTTTACCCCTATTTTTTTAAAATCCATTTTGACCAATGAGTTTCTGATTTAAATTAGTCACCTTCATATTTTACTCTAAAGAGTGGGGCTTTTGGAAGTGACTCAGGTATCATGGAGGGCAAGGTGAGAACAAAAGGGTTGATAGTGGGTCCTGTTTTGGGCAGCTCAGATCCTCTCTTCAGAGCCAAAGGATTTACTCTGTTAACTGCTGGGAGTGCTGCCAGATGACAAGCCCCAGCTGTCAGCTCTCTCTGGGGATTGCTTTTGGCTGAAGAGCTCCCCTGTCCCAACACAGGTCAATGCTTAAGGGCTGTTTCTGTTTGAGGGCACCCCATAGAGTCGTTGAGGCCTTGCTGTGACTGTATTGCATACCTCCCTTTGTCTAATCCTGTTTCTTTTACTTCCTTCACAGTTGCTGATCCCAGAGCACTCCCTAATAAACTTCCTGCATGCTAATTTCTTCTGAGTCTGTTTCCGGAACTGGACCTACAGCAAAATCAATTAAAGCAGCTCTGCTTTTATCGTTTATAAATATTGACTATCCATGTAAGATTTCGCTTAGGGCAAACCAAACTAAAAATCTTTGAAAGCCACTGATCTAATGTTTAAACAAATGCTTCACCTTATATGAAAAATCATCCTTACAGTTTTGTGCAAGACCAATTTATTTACGTTAATCCTTCCAAACCAACAACTAAGCAGTGTTTTCTCCTTTTGTAATTGTTTCTTCTTAGCCTTTATTTGTATGTTGCATTTACATACATACTCATGTGCTTGTTAAAGCTGAAAATACGTTAAATAATGAAAAAAATATTTTTCATATTACATATGTAAAACGAAGAAGCGATACAACAGAAGCAATTGTAGCAGACCAGAGAAGGGCATTCAGTAGACGGCATATATACTCAAATACTGATAGAGTTTTTTACATATCCTGTCCCCTACCCTCAAAAAATAACTCTTAAGATTTTGACCTAAAACAGCTATGGTATAAATAAGGGTATTGTATATAGAATTTTCATTCTTCTGTTAAAAAAAAAACTCACATGAAAAAATATACCATCGACTAGCCTCTTGTAATAAAGGAGTAAACCAATAACAAAAAAGGACTGTGGTCTTATGATAAAATTCATTGTATTCTGTGGTGCATTGGAAAGCTATCAAGGAAATTTCCAAATAATTAAGTTGCTGAAAGGCTAAATGACTTTAACTGCTGAAAAGATAACTCAAATTTAATAAGCATGTGTATGATTAAGTTCTGGATCTTAGCAGGTCCCGGCAGAGCTCATTCAATAATTCTAACTTACACAATAGTCAAGGCAACAAAGGAGAAATAGTTTGGATGCAGAGGTTGATCCTGAGCTAGGTTTTCCTACTTCTCTATCGCCTGGAAAGCCATACACACATCAGGCCTTAGCTTTCTGTTGCAGCATTAGGGATGATTCACTCTCAGGTATGGTGTTGCTTTGGCAATTTCCAAACTTGGTGTGGCAGCAATTAACTGATATATAGAACATGATATAGAGAGTCAGGAGAGAGGCTCAGGATGCAAGGTTGTGAAAGACTATTATTTATTGGAAAAAAATAACAAAGTACTTTATATACATGTTATTTAACATATATGATCTGGGTGACTAGAACATTCTAGCGGTGGATTTATTCTGTAGCCTGAAATATCCAAGCTTAGATACTTGAGAATTCCTGATCACAACTCTGAGTTTTTTTAAAAAAATTAAAATTGAGTAGATAAAAGTCTATTGAAAAATACTGGAAAAATATGAAATTTAGGTAGCATCAATGACCACATGTGTTCTAAAATATCCTTTCTGGACAAATAGTGATTTCATCAAGTACAACACTGAAAATACATACAGTCTCCTAAAAATATGCAAGTGTATGGTAGTAATACTGTATATGCAAATAATAGCAATATTCTTCCATCAAAAGTGAATAAACTTTATAAATGATAACGTATACATCAATTCACTTTCTTTATGCATTATAAGCATACTTTTGGAGTGAAAGAACTCTAAAATACAACCAATGCTAAGTCTTTGTTAATGCACTATAGGGAGTACACGAATAAATGAAGTTGATTTATTAATTTGCTAAATATTTTGAGCATATATTATGTGCCAGGCATTGTGTTAGACAATGCAATGTATGAACCAGATAGATATGTTCTCCGTCTTTGTGAAGCCTATTGTCTAAGGGAAGAAGCTGACAGGGCTGCCTGTGTGGCTTTGGTAGGTTGGGCAGTGGACACTTGGTTTCGGCTAGGGTAGTGATTTTGGGTTGGAGGGATCCAGCCCAGCCTCGGGCTTGTGTTCAGCACGGAGCCTGCTTGGGATTCTTTCTCTCCCTCTCCCCTTACCCCTCCCCACTTGAGTGGGTGCTTGTGCGCTCTCAATCTCTCTCAAATAAATGAATAAATCTTTTTTTTTTTTTTTAAAGGAAGAAGCTGACAAATAAGCTATTGCAATATAGCATGACAAGTACTGATAGGGGAAGTGCAGAGTTCTCTGAAAGCACATAAAATGTCAAAACTGGATTTAACAGAGATATCTTCCTGGGGAACATTATGTCTAAAGGTCTTAAAGCTGTGGATGTGTTGGTCGGGTTGGTGGGAAGGGGCTAAAGAGAGAAGCTAAAGCATGTACAGAGTTCTGAAAGTGAGTAAGCATGTCTCTCACAAGGAACTGAAAAAACAAATTCAGTAAAGCTGAGTGCTGGAAAGGGACAGTAGTAGCACAAAGAGATGAGGTACACAAGAACCAGTTCTTGAGGGGCCTTGTAAAACATAGTAAGGAGTAAACACTTTATCATAATGGCAACAGGAAGCCATTGAAAAGATTTAGGCCCACGAGATCAGAGTTATGATTTAGAAAGATTATTCTGACTGTAGAGGGAAAAATGAAGGCAGGGGAGACAAATTAGGATTCCGTGATAGCAATCTAGGGAGATGATGGTGGTTTGAACTAAGTTAGTGATACTGGGAATCAAGAGAAGTGTAAAGATTAAAGACATTTTTTAGGAAGTTAGACAGAACTCAGTGACTGGTTATAAGTGGGCAGTGTAGGAGACAACTGTCATTTGCTGAGATTGGAAACATCGAAAGAAAAAAAAGGTTTGGGAGAAGGATGCTGAGTTCTTTTTTATTTTGCATATACCGAACCTGAGGTACTAAGGGATAAGCAAGTACAAATGTTGGGCAAGCAACTGAATGTATGGATTTTATATTCTGTACAGTGCTCTGAACTGGAGATACCGATTGCAGAGTTGTTCGTATGAAATGGTAACGGAAACCATGGGAGTGGACACATCGTGTCCAAGGCAATGTGCAGGGTGGTGAGAGAGTAGGCTGTGTTCTCCTTATATTCTCCTTGGCCAAGTCTATTACTAGAAGTATCAACAGGTATGAAAATCTTATTGTTTTCTCTTCTTTGACCTTTTGAAGCCATGAATTGACAATAAAAACATTTAAAATAACCTGAAATCAGTAAACATTTGTAAAATAATGGTTAAATATAATCTACAAACCATACAAACAGCCCTTAATTGCTCAATATCTAGCTTTGACTATTTTGAGCTTTCCACTTTACAACAAATCTTCACTTATGCTATTATTTGCCTTCCATCAGTTCTGTAACTGTTTATTTCCTGATCATCTGGATCAATCGATATGCAGCTCAGTGACAGCCCAGAGAGATTTTCTCTGATCAAAACATGTGATTATGTAGAGATGTGCTGGTCAGAAGACAACCATAATTCATAATTGCCACATGGAAAAGATCCAAATACAGTTTTGGATGGGTTGATGGGGATTTGCCTCAATATGCTTCCTTTTCGATCTATAGAAGTCGAAATGGGGATGTGACCTCTAGGGTGGTTAATAGGTGGCATGCTGCCATATGTTTAACAACTGGCTTGCCAGGAGAAAAGAGCCCCGATTTGTTGCGTTTGCCAATTTTGATAGTGTAAATACTCCCCTCATAGACAATTTCAGGCTACCAACTGATGCCACTGAAGGCGGACTGGGGGAAAAAGGTATACAATTGATTTCTGCAAGTCAGTGCAAGCTGGCTCTGGCACAGAACTGGACCAAGTATGATTTGACTGGTGACCAGGAATGGGAAAATACCTTGCATATCACAGCTTAAGATATGAGAGGACTGAATTCTACAAGACACTTAGTTTCCGCTTTAAGGAAAACTGACTTATTCATCTCTGGCCAGTTTATTTGTAGGTTTTAACCTTTTCCCTTTGAATTGAGAGCTGTGGTATGAATGATGTATACATTAATAATCTAATAACCTTAGCAATATAACTTCTATGTCCTTATTCATAAGGAATAACAGTTTCTATAATTGGCTTGTATCCGACACTGAAATGATTGAGAACCATTTTCCATTTAATTCCTTATACTGTGAACCAAAGAAATGACCAGTTTCTTTTCATTTCAGGGTACAAGTATAATCTACATTCTAATATATTTCATAAAAGAAAATATACTATTTCCATCAAATAAGCAAAGTTTGTTTTTTCCCTATCAAAGCAAACAATTTGATGGTATACTGCTGTAACCAATAAAAAATTCAGAAAGAATAGCAGCAAAATATCTCTTTATGTGATTTAATATATACCCTATTAACAGCAGTGTGCAGATACATAGTATTGACAGTATACTTTAAATAATTACTATTCAAACTTACTTTAAGTTTTTTTTT